CTGTTTATAGAAATACCGAGTTGTTCAGGCTCCATGCAATCACCCAGTACAGCTCCCATCTCAGAGGAAGGACTAGCTCTGGATTTGGGCCACGTTGCTGAGGAACACACAAAAGTCTTGCATTTTGAAATAAGATCATTATTTTTCATGTGATAGAATAAAGTGCAATATTTTCTGATATTATACATTCCAGAATCTTGTGCATAGGTCTTAAATGATGGATAAACCTCAGAGGGAAAGGTTATAGGGGTTGGATGTGGGAGAAAGCTTTTCTTTCTTTAACTCCTCATTGGCAATATTACTTCCAGTGAGCTGAACATTGGAATCACTGGCTTGAAGTGGCAAAACATTCTGAGGAATGGGTGAATAGCGTATAGTCAAAAAGTGTTCCACACGCTCTTATTTTTGAGTGCCTATCCAGTGCTGTTAATCACTTAAATAATTTGTGTTTAAAATATGCCTTTGCATAAATTATGATTTTCTGTAAGGATTAAGGAAAATTATTCCACAATTGCTTACGCTTCCTGGTGAAGACTTTAGAAATCATTTTTGGAAATGAAAGTTTTTCTTAAACTAGAAAGAATTTAATGAAAGAAGAAACTATAAAAGGAAATTATTTATACGAAGGTACAGAAATGTCTTACCTGGTTTGTCAGATAAAGTTTGTTAGGGAGATGAATTAAGTTTCCACTTCAGTGAGAACAGATAGCAACATCGATGTGAATTATACTTTGCTGTGCACTCGGAACTTGGATAACTGTGTATTAGGTTACTGATTATAATATGCAAACCTAAGTTTATGTGGTAAGTGTTCTTTTTTTGATAAGGCATTGTTCTGATGCTGTGCCTTACTGTTACTTTGGTTACCATTCCTTAGCCCCTAGCTGAAAGGTGAGTGCATACCTCTACCCGAATTTGGAAGTGTTTGGCCACTTCTTAATATTTATGTTGATACCTCGCTTTTTGCTATTTTGTAATATTCAACCATACAGACATACATTTTTGACAGTTTGTTACCATGAGTATTGCTTCATTTGGAGAAAAAAAGTCTAATTTCTTTAGTCTGGCATAATTGAAAGTCGTGTTTCCAGAAAAACAGAAGTAACAGTTTATCAGTTAAGTTTAATATGTATATTATTTTTTATAACTACTAGTGGTTTTATTTTCAGTGTGGGAAAGGAATTATATTTGGTACATTCTACTGTATCTCATCATAGGTGTCTTTCCAAAACTGTTAGTTTTGTGTTCTTATAATCTATTTAAGGCTATACTAATATCTTTTAAAAAACTGAAGCATCATCTTGGCAATTTTCTATATGCTTCTGACTGCTGCTGTCAGTGGTTATTGGGGTGCAGGAACATTGTACATGATAAACATTAAGTGCTCAAGAAAATCTTGTTTATAATACCTAGGAAAAAAAGAAATTTTATACTATATTGAATGCACAATGTGTATGTAATTTGCAAAAGGTATTCAGTATTTTTGTTTGGGTCTAGTTAATGTTTAAAGGAGTTGGAAACAAGTAAATACAAATGTTAATGCTTGCATCTGAAGTAATTGGAAAGTATGGTGCTCTAGTTGCCATCATTTTTACTAAAAGCCAATTATTCAGATGAATGGGACCCTTTTGAGGTTTGTTTGCATTAGTCGTGTAATATGAGAATCATGCAACAGGCTTGGAAAACTTCGTTTTGAGTTAAAGAAAAGGTAAAAGGGTTTATAAAGGATACTATAAAGAATTGTCATTTGAAAACAGGGTATTACTCATTGTTTTAAAGGCTATTTGTAAAGATTGCTGTACCTCACTACGCATCTGTTGTAGAACTGTCACCCTCGTAACTGTATGTCACCCATTTTTCTTGTTCTCTTGCAGTTTAAGTTGTTTTCCCAGGTACCTGCTGACTTCAGAGGTTAACTGCTTCCCTATGGATTTCTCTAGTAAAAAATTAACTCTCCTTTCTCTTGCTGCTCAATTTTAACTCCCTGTAATGGGTGGTTGGGGGTTGGCTTCAGGGGAGGAGCTGAAACAGGCTGCTACTAAACAAGACGAGTAGTCGTGGGGAGGAAAAGAAGCCCTATGAAGAAAATTCTGTTCTAAAACTCTGTTCTCATTGTAACGTTCAACAATATCAGCCAGCAGTGGTTCAGCTACTCTGTCAAAACCACCTGTTGGCATTTCTTTCTCTGGTAGTTCAGGCAAATACCAGAGAGCAGCTGACCAGGCTTACCTGCAGTCCTTCATACTCACATGTTAAAAACCTGTTAGGTCACATTTTGTGTGGGATAGGGCTGTATTTTCTGTTACAGGGATTCCTTCAAATAAAAGCTTTAGTAAATGTAAAAGTACATGTTTTAACAGTTAGTATGTGAGCATTTAATCACATTCTTGATATGTTCTGTCAGTTACTGTATTTTCTCTAACAGGAAACTTATCTTAAATGTGCTAATTCTGTGATAACTACGTAATAACTTCCCCATGCTGAAAACGTACAAAAATGCTGTGATTTGTGAACATAAAAAAACAGAAGTAATACTTAGTGTAGGCATGTTGATAGGTAGCAGAGACCATAAGACATGTTCATAGAAACATATTTGTCTGTAGTCTACCACTGAAATATTTTTATATGGTAGTAATAAAACACCTAGGTTAAAGCTACAAATGGCAAGTAATAACTTTGTGGGTTTTGTTACAAAGGTCACACGAGAGTAACAACAAAACATGAGTGTCAATTCCACCCTTCTTGCTTTTTTATTTTACTGCTAACTGAAGACCTTCTGAATTTCAAGCTAAGAAAAAAGTGGTTTATTTTGTGGAGGAAGCTTAGTAGTAGAGTTTTCTAGCTCTGTACTTTAAAAAAAAAAAAAAAAAAAGATCCTTTAAGTGGTTTTGTACTTGGCCCTGCCTTGTATGGCATCTTTCACTTTAGAGGAAAAAAAAAAAAGCACACAAACAAACCAAAAACCCCTGAAACTTGTAGTGGAATCAGTCCTGACTTTGCAATGCAAGAATTGGAAGCCCCCCAAAGTACGTTATGTGCAATAATTCAAAATCCAGTGCATTACTCATAGCTAAATAATATTTCTCAGCTTTTTGTGTTTTATCTAAATCTGTTTTCACCCACATTTATGGCCATGCACATGTATATGCACAATCCAGCTGATATAAACCGGTAGCTATGGTGTCTTTCTGCCATGCTGGTTGAGGGATTGACATTAGGGATGAAATCCCACTTTTTCGTTTTGCCTCTTGATGTCAGGGCTGAGGTGTAGTAGCAGACTAATATCAGTATATAGCCCTGTTGATTCTGCAGCTGCCTATGTGACTGATCCAACAGACATTTGTGACATATGTGACTGATCCAACAGACTAATGTCCAACAGACATTAAGTGAAATCATCTATGTGACTGATCCTATAGGATCAAGTGAAATCACATGATTTCACTTCATGTCGGTTGACAGTGGAGTGAAGGATCTGACAAAGTCATTGCATATTCTTTTATAAATTAAATCTAACATAGGTTCTAGTGTCAGAAGTCCTGATTAAAGTGTTCAACAACTGCCTTTTGTAGCTGGACCTTGAATTCAACTCATGTCTTTGAGTTACAAGGCCTTACGTTTCTTCATTTTCATCTCCACGTCAAAGTATAATCCTTCCAAAAATCTTCTTAAGTACATTTCCTAGGTTAATACAAGTTCCCAGAGACAAAGTCACTGACCCAAGATCCTTTTGTCATACATCTTATGATAATTTCCTATACCAGCATATTTTTGTAAAACTATTGACCCTGTGCTTTCAAATGTTGGATATTGTTGCTTTAGATGTGCAGTTGTAGAGGACCTTCAAGTTTTGACATCCCAAAACACGTTTCAACTAAAACAAGTTTTGTGAAATTGATTTTTTTTTTTTAAACAAACAACAATAACAAAAATATGAATGCAGTTTGACACGATTAATATTCAGTGCAAAAATTCAGTTGGGATAATGGAACTGTTTCCAAAATGTGTCTGAACTTGTAAATCGCAAGTGGAAAAATTTTCAGAATCAGGTAAATTTATTTTGTATACGCTTGTTCTTAATGTGTGTATATTCATTTGATGATGGAATATACTTTAACATTCTTACAGAAAATTCATTACAGCCTCTTTTTGGTGCATCATTGTTTTTCACAAGCTGTGAAATTTCTATTTCATCCTTCTGATATAAACAGTAATACCAAACTTCCTTGGAATTATCTGTGCTGGGTGTGCTTTGTTTTCCCTTAAGTGATAACTTTTGCATATTGTTTCACAGCAGGACATGGTTCATGATAGTAATGTCAGAACTTCTTTGCTGTTGGATAATTGAGCAATGATTAAATCTGGATCAATTTCACATGTTAATTGTCTATTTAGTTTAAATGCATGATATGCTGTAAGTTTTTATGCTAGTTTCAAAAACATGGCCAGTGTCTGTACAGAGACAGCAAAAATATACCACAATTGAGTTAAGTCAAAATTTTTTGAACAAAGTTGAATTGGCAGATTGAATTTATATACCGTAACACATCAGAGCTTGGTTTGCAGTCAACACCATCATTTTTGAGTCATAAAGACAGATTTGACTGTATTATTAAACCACAGCCTCTAGGCAACAGTGTAGTAAGATGTCTTTATTTATAATTTAAATATACTGCTGATTATTGAAGAACATTGAGTGAATATGGATTGATTTTCAGTTGGTTACATAACTTTAATGAAACTTTAGATTGTATCTGATAAGTGAAACTTGTGATATTTAACCTTTAGCATTATGCAAAAAAATGTACTGCATTGTAATATTGAACTTCTACATTTGATATTTATGAAAGTAGGGCAGTATATTTAACTTTATTCCTTGCACAGTTTTGTAATTAACGGGAACTTTAGAAACCTGAGATTTTTTATTTTCATGGAATATATGGGAATGTTTTAAGTTCTAAGAATGATAGGTTGATCATGAAAACTATGTTTACTTTCAGAGAGAACAGGAAATGAGAATGGGTGATATGGGTCCTCGTGGAGCAATAAACATGGGAGGTAGGGATCTGAAGGAAAAGGCTTCTGTAATGTAAAATTTGTTTTTCTTTGGGACTGTACATGTTACTCAAGCACTATTCATTGGTGACAACTACTGGTAAAATCAAGTAAATAGTATTAGGAAATAAGAAAAAAATCATACATTTTTCTTCTAAACAGTTGTTTTTCTCTGAAAAGTATGTTTTGAAAATTGATAAGAGAAAGAAAATGATCTTAAAGTTAAGAGAAATCATTAGGCAGGGTAATGCTCTAGAAATTATATGATGCAATACAGTAATGTTCAGTTGCAAAAGTGCTCAGTGTTCTTCTGGAGGGACTACACGATCAGAAAAGTTGGGACTATAAGTGTAAGCAGTGAAATGATTTACACCTTAAAATAGTCAGTTCCTGTTGACGTATTTCACAGAAGTTTAGCAAATAAGGTGGTTGGTGTCCTGTTTGCTTACTGCAAGTCTCTATTTGCAAATATTCTCAGTTCATTTTTGTGGTTTAGAGTACTGTCACTGCTAAAAACTCCTACTGTGAAATCTAAAAAAGTAGTTTTCTTCATCATCAGTATTTGTTCCGTATCTGCAGACTGAAACAATTTGAAATATTACTTAATCAGAATATCTGCTTTTAAACAAGACTGAAATTAAGAATATTTAAAAAATGAAACTATTAACTATCAATATGTATCTTTAGGAAGCTTCCTGATGTTCATTAAAAAAATAATAAATTAGCATTTTGTGTAATTTAAACTTGGAAGTGAATATAAAGCTCAGTAAATGCTGCGGCATGACTTTGAGTAATGCAAATTTATAGACTAAAGTACTTCTTCAGTCCCCATTTCAAATACGTTATCCACCACTTGCATTCACTGACTGAGAAACATTCATAGCCACAAAATGGGCTGATTCACTTGCAGAAAATGAAGAGGCTAAAATAATTCTAACAGAAATTCTTGTAAAGATCAAATTATCTAGAAATAGTAATCTGAAGCATAAATTGCATTTATTTGATAGCTGCATTTTTACGTATTTTTTTTACATATTGTTTCAGCGCATTCTACTTGAAAATTTCAATCTATTAGGAGGCTTTGTAATTATTGATATTGTGGAAACTGCTAACACCAGTTTTCCAGATTCTTAGGGTATGCTTTTATTATACAGATTTAAAATATGTATTTATAATAAAATAAGTATTTACAGCAGTCAGTTCCCAGCCCCTTACTTTTCTTGTCAGGTTTTCATAGAATCACTGAAAGGTTTGGGTTGGAAGAGACCTTACAGATCATCTAATTCCATCTCCCCCTGCCATGGGCAGGGACACCTCCCACTAGAAGGAAGTTTTAATGCTTAACTATGATATCCGTCATTGTTTTGGTTTGTAGCTTTCTTGCTATGACTTCAGATTTTAAACTTGTTAGAAATAAATATGTAGTAGGTTCAGAAGGAATTGCCGTAACAACTCGCAGCTATTTTAAAAAGGGAGAAATAACCCGTACTGAATAGGTAAAGTGTATAGTTTTACAGTAGCTGGATTTTAGGTAAACTCTGCATAGAGACTTTTTTTCCAGACCATTAGCAACCCTGCCACCAAAAAACCCCAACCACCCAAACTTAAAACAAATGAATAATTACAAAGCAAAACAAAGCAACCTTCGAATAATGAATGTTTAATCTCTGATCTTATCTTCCTTCTTCACGTAATATTTCTGTTGGACCTGTAACTTAATTTTTAACTGGTCTTTCCATTTGCCACTTAAACCTTTTCATAATGTGGGACGGTGGCGAACTGGAGTATCTTTAGTAATGGAAAAACCTACATGATAGTGTTATTACAAAGCAAGATACCTCTGAGATGGGTTTAACTAGTGTTGGGTTGATGTGTGCAGGACCACTCAGTTTTACATCATCTGCAGCAAACAAGTTCTGAGAGGCTCTGTAAAGCCACAGCATAGCACTTATCTGGATCTGCAGTGCTGGGTGTAGTTAATAAATCTCTCTCTAACCTGCAAAAAAATGGCTTTTTGGGAACTATTTCTGCATTGCTGAGGGCTATTGACTGTGACTTAATGCCAGCTGTGCCAAACCTTGGCACATCTGAAGATCAAGATGCTGTAACAGCCTCTACTGACCTTGTGCAGGACCCTGCTCTCTCCCTGTATTTACACTCCCAGCCTTCCTTCTGACAGAACTTACAGCTTGAAAATGGCTTAATAGTGCAGTGAGGCTTACTGTTATAACACTATTGTGTACTTGATATCACCCTGGAAGAGGCATGGATATGTTTGTGTGGTACAGAGGGTAAAAACACTGTTGCAGTTGAAGGCTAGTGAACATCACCTACATATGTAGCTGGCTGGCTAAGTTTAATTAGCAGGTTGGTAAGCCATAAAAGGTAATTGAGCATTGACTGTCTCTAGTCATTTTTCACTACCAGCACTGAGTACTGCCATCATGACAGTCATATTAGGGCACTTCTAGCCTTTGAATATAGACGTTTCTCCTTATGTTAGCAATTTAGATTCCTTTTCCTTCCATGTGAGGTCCTTGAATGGTCGATGCTGAAAAATAGTTTTATTGGCTATTCAGCTATAATTTCGTCTTGTATTACAGCACAATCTTTTACTTGCTAAATGAACTGTTCACATTTGTAGGTAGTTAACGATCTGGGTTGAATATGCCGGTATTTTGACTCCATGTTATAGGGAGAGGTCTTGATGTATTTAGGACTAAGCTCAGGCAAGTACTGCTTTTTAAAATACTTTTCCATATTGCTTCTAATAAACTTGTGCAGCACTTTCTGATATAAGTGTATGATAGTCTATGATTTTAGCAGCAGTATCTTGTAGTGATCTCAGTGACTGCTGCGATGGGTGCTCAGTGCTGGTAATACAGCTGCAGTTTTGCATAAGTGCAGATAATCATGGTACTGTGTTTGTGCTCAGTGACCAGCTTACAATGGTGGACATGTATATACATTACTGAAGAACTTATGAACAGAGTTGAGAGGCTGATTTTTGAAATAAAATGACAAGTTTTTTTTTAGTCTGGCAAACATGTCTGATTTCTTGATTTTTTTTTTGTATGCATTATCATGACTTGAAACATACACTAGATTCCAAAGGCATGGTTTCTTCTGTTATCAAATTTCAGATGCGCACTTCTGGTTGAAGAGTGTGCATAACCATTGTGGGGACAAAAGAGTGCATCACCACCAGTCTTAAAGATTGACATCTCATAGTAGCAGGCATAAATGATTTATATAATCAGACTTTTTCTTACAGCATGAAAAAATGTTTTGAATGCAGTTTACTTAAGTGTGTTAGTGGGTGCTGGCAGTTCTGCTCAGTTCTGCTCACTGGCTTTCTAGCTCAGTGTTGTGGCCAAATGACCTCTCCAGAAGAGCCAAAAAGGTTTTTAAGCTTTTCTACTCCCTCTTCCAGTGAATCAGAATTTTCAAAGAATTTTATCTGTAACTTTAAATTCCAACAGAACTTCTTTTATATTTCTGGTGCTTTTACTATAACATGCATTTAAATGCAAGATTTCTTTATATCATGTTATAAATACTTCATTATAAAGTTGAGTGCCACCATTGGTATCACTTTATATGATATTGCAGTGTATTAGTCTAGCATCAACATGTAACATTAATACTGGTGGAACAGTTCTTGTATATTTACTGTTAAAATCTTGAAAGGGACGAGTTGCCTTACAGCTATTAATTACTGCAAAATCACTTGAGATTTTTTCTAATTTGTGGTGTGTATAGTGCATATATATGTGCTATATGAACAGTTAAATTCCTGCACAGAAACAGTACAGCTATATTTAGCTGCAAAGTTCAGGTTTCTCAACAACTATAGAAGGCAGATTATGCAATGTGATAACAGGGAGTAATTAATCTGTTTAAAAGCAGATGATTGAGGTAAATGTACAGTCTCAAAGAATATATATATCTTTTATATTTCAAGTATTGGAAGTCTTGTACATTTGGCTTTTTAAATATTGTAAATTGTTTGTTTATTCTTGTAAAATTCAGATAGGACAGCTCTAAGTATAGATTGTTTTGCATAGATGCGTTTAGCCCAGCACCTGCTGGTAACCAAGGCCCTCCTCCAATGATGGGTATGAATATGAACAACAGAGGAACTTTACCTGGCCCTGCAATGGGTCCTGGTCCTTCCATGGGACCAGAAGGAGCTGCAAATATGGGAACACCAATGATGCCAGATAATGGAACAGTGGTAACGTATCACAAATTTAATTCCTTTGAATAGATGTCATGTCTCATGGCACATATTCGTTACCAAAGATATTTTCACACTGAATAAGAGCATGCTAAATGGTTTTGAGTCTGTTAAAAGTAATTGATAAGACTTGTTCATGAACAACACACAGAAAACCATTATTTGGTCTTAGAAGGCCATTATGAAAATCCCACTTCCAGAAGGGTGACTTCTTTGATCCATAACCAGACTTTTAGAGTTAGGGTTAGGTTTTATATTATTTGTGGTAAAACTTTTCATGTGTAACCTCTCTTGAAAAACTTGCTGATAATTTCTCAAAAGTGATTTCTTTTTAAGAGGAAACCACATACAGGAGTAATCTGTAAGCTTCAATGTTTGCTTTTTTTTTGTTTTATGAAACTAAATCATATGTAATTGTTTGATTTTTCCATAATCAGATGAAAAGTTAAATGTTGGAAGTTATGCATAGTGTGAAGATATCTTTGTGTAAACTACTTGATTTTTTTTTTTAAGTGACTTCAGTGTTTTTGTACTACTTTTCTAATGGTGTTGAAAAAACAAGATTGACAGTAAACACTTAGAAAATAGGGATGTCAACAGCTGCTAGTCATAACTGTCATGTCAACACGGGAAAATAGTCTTGCCCAGTTGCCAAGGGTACTAGGAACGAATGTAGGGGATACATCTGGAATTTTTTATCAACAGAGGATACGCTATTGGGCTCCAATTAAAGCATTGGCCATTTTTGCTCTGTTCTTACAACCAGTCATTTTTCCTAGCTGCAATGTCTTCTGTAGAGAAACAATTATAGCATTTTAAACCTGAAATTTACATACGTTTAAGTATTCTTTTTTAAGCAGATACTTGAGATGTTCTGGTAGTGGTGTGATGTAAAGGAGTATGAGGTATAAGCAGTGATTCCCTTATAGTTTTATTGGAACACTGAGGCACTTTGTAGCTGTAAATTTTATCTATGCCTTCTCAATAGTATCAGTCTCTGTGCTATTCTATAAACAAATTTTGACAAAATCCTTTGTTCCTTAAAGGAAAATAAGATTTTGATTAAGTGCTAAATGCAGAATGAGTCCAGTCTTCACCAGTGCAAGAAGACGACCTTATTTCATGTCATAGTGACCAGCTCATTTTATTGTATAACTTCTCACAAGGATGGGGATGTGTCCGCTCAAAACTGGTGTTACTGACTGGTCACCTCTGGAACATACTTTTGTGATTTTATAGACACTGAAAAGAGGTGTGTGGGGCGTGGGGGGGGGGAAGCATGCTGTTTCGATATCATGATATCGATCTCAAATTGTTTTTCTACAAAAAGTCATTCCAGTTATGGAAATGTAGAGAACGGAATCTACTGACACTTCAAAATGTGCTTTTTAAAAACAAAAATTTAACTTGCATTTTCTTCTGCACACCACTAAGGGGATGAATTAATTGCTTCTCTTTTTTTTCATTTTGTAGTTTCAAGGTTTTTAATTTGGGGGCAGGCCCCTACAGAAAGGCATGCCCTTGTGTTTTTGTTGCTGCTAGAAAGACACTTCAAAGAGTCTGAGGGCTGTCTACTGAAACACAGTTAATTTCCATTTCTGTTAAGAGAAATGGAGAATACAACTTACCAGAAAGGTGGTTTTCATCTTTTAAAAATTAAGCGTTTTTATAAACTATATAGGGAAAATTGGAGTAAACTGCTTTTTTTTGTTCTAGTTTTACTGCCATATTTTGAAATATATGTGAACATAATGTTTTAAAAATAGCTTTTTTTTCCTCATAGCTTATTGTAGGTAGTTTATTTACTACAGCAGATTTCTCTTTAACTGAATAGAGGAGTCTTGTTGGAAAGACTTGTTTTTGTCCAAAAGTTAAATGGTAAAATTTAACAGGAGTATGCGATGAGCTATTTTTTTAAGTTCATATCCATCACTAGCAAGCTGTAAGCATTTAAGACACTTAAAAAATACGTATTTCTAACCAGTGCTGCAGATTTTAAGGTTCTTTGAGGGCAGTAGTAGATCTTTATACAGCTGTTGAATAACTGTTTTTCTTATACAATGTGAACTTTTAAATAAGCACACATATATATATATATATATATATATATATATATATATATATATGTATGTATATGTATATATAAATATATAAGTTCTAAATTCTATAGAACTTCATTTATATAGATATACTACTTTTAAATAAAAATATGCATATATAGTTATGAATTAGGTGACTTCTGGAACTCTTGAGCTCTACTACTATTACGGAAGTTAGACTTCTGAAGAACTGTCTGATTCAGGCATATAAATAGTGAGACAGTCTTTAATGTGCCTTTTCAACTCTGAATACCTGGGCAGTTATGTAGCGCTCTGCTCAGAAGGAATTTCTACTGAAAGTAACTGTCCTCAACAGCTAAAGGATGAGTTATTTAAAGATCTGCTTGTACCATACATCGATGCTTTTAATGATTTAATTTATGTTGAGGTAATGTTTTAAATTTCATTGTGTAGGGTTCTGTTTTAGACACACAAATGCTGAATTATTAAGTATTCAGATGTATGTTTTCAGTTTTGAGTCTGAATTGTTAATAGTCAAGACCGTTTAAGCACATACACCTTAATGTTGAGTATGGAAATAAGGAACGTGTGCAACATTAACTGGATTTTCATCTTCTGTTGATGCTTCAGGTTAAATTTCACTTTTAAACTAAGCATAGTCCAATAGTCCAACTATGCATTGTATCAGTAGTTATACTAGTTTATTTGAATTGGGATTTAAAAGTCTGTTTAAAGATCCCTGAAGTGCCATACAAAAGGCTGACACCAGGTAGTATGGACTGAAATGCATTTAATCTACACATTTGTGGAAATGTAAGCCTTCAGGTTATTTCACTGTTAAAAGAATAAACCTGCAGTCTCTAGAAATACAAAAGCTCAACTTTTTTTCTAGTTTGACAATATTTCTGTGTCTAACTCCTTTAACAGAGAAGCATTGTAGTTGGTATGTTAGGACTTGGGTATGAAATCACTGTTTGCTCTTCTGTTACATAGAGAATATGTATTGTTCAGATGTGCTTGAAAGGATGAAGTTACATTCAGCACCAGAGTTGGTTTGCATACTTAAATTTCTAATTTTTCATTTACTTTACAAAGTTGGAGGGTAGCATTAGCAGTCTTTAATTTCCAGCTCCTTTTTGATAATAACTAATTGAATTGCTCCTTTCTTCCCCTCTATGTGTGATCCTGATTCTGCTGGACTATCTGCTGACCTTCCTGCCAACATCACTTGTGGGTTTTGTTGTAACTTACATTTGGCACGTTCCAAATGGACTTGTATTAGCATAATGAGAGATTCCCTCAAGGAGGTCCATCACAGATGGGTTCACCTCTGGTTAGTAGAACGGGCTCTGAAACTCCTCAGCCGCCAATGAGTGGTGTAGGTGCCGTGAGTGGTGGACCTGGTGGCTTTGGTAGAGGAAACCCAGGGGGCAACTTTGAAGGACCTAACAAGCGTCGCAGATACTAAAACTTACTTCATTCCTTACTGTTAAGAAATTCCGGTAAAAATATACGGTTATATGCCTTTATAATTTTAGCTGTTATCTGGAAACGGTTTTATTGTTATTGTAGTCTTTAAAACGGTTTCTTTTGTAAAACTTTTTTGTATTCAGTCATAGGCTTTGTAGTATAGAGCAGAAATGATGCAGATCAGTATGTAAGGCAATGTGTTTGTGACTAGCAAAATACAATGTGTGACTATGCTGTAAAACATGCAGTTATCTGATTACAATAAAATATAAACATCACTTGAAAGGATTTTGGGAATGTTATTACTAATACTGGGTGAGAATAATTTTATGCTTAATTATAAGTGGCATTTTCATTCTTAGTATGTAGCTTCTACTGTGTGTCAAAAAAATCTATTAATAGTGAACGTATTCAGCTAGAAGTGCATGTTGCAGTACATACTATGAGAACTTACATTGCAACTGCTTACCTTTGCTTCAACTTTTAGAGCATCAAGTTTTATACAAAGTGTTTTCTTAAGGATACTGTGTCCTCTTTTGTTTCAGTCTCCCTCTGCAAACTTAGTCACAGCAGACTTACAGTGTATCTTTCATTCAAATTACTGAAAAAAATAACTTTGGAGGAAAGAAAAACTAAACAAAAAACATAAAACCTCTGGAAAAGGAATCTGTATGTTTACTTTATTCATGATGGTATGAATGAATTTACCTAAACTATACTTGTGCAGAAGAAAAATTGTTGTGACATGAGTGTGTTGTACTGATTGTTAAAGTATCCTGGCATCGAAGGGAGGAAACACTTGTGCAAGCTGGTTTAAAGCCTTCCACTGATGTACGATGCATTATTATATATTTCCCCCACTGGTTGCATTGAAACAAATCTGTTATCATCAATTAAATGTTTAATTCATAGGCAAATAGGGGTTTTCTAGTTAAAATGGTTGTTTGCTTATAGCAGAGGATTCATATGCATTTAGAAGGACTTCACATAAGTATTCTTGAAAAATGTTTTGCAGAATGATAAATTTGGAAAATATCCATTCCCAACACAACACACACTAGTTTTGCAGAATGAGTATTGAGATTGGAACTAATGATAAAGCTGTTAAGAAGCTTCTTATGTTCAGATTTCGGCAGTCATGGAAGATGATGGAAAAGGCCTATTGGTTCTATTCCTGTAATGGCAAGAAAGTAGGGATATGTTTGGTTACTATGACTTTTTTTTTTCCTGTGAAAGTGTTTTGTTTTGCATCTGTTCTTATGTTTTCTCAAGTAGAAATAATTAAAATTTATATGCATGAATAGTGCTACTAAATTGCTTCAGAACTGATTTAAGATAACATTGTGCCCTAATTATATTGGAATGGTATGTATGTAGCTCAAAGCATGGGATGCAAGCAGCAGAGAGCATGTATGTGTTACTTTTTAATATAGCAGTGATGGTCTTGGTGAATTTAACTGTGAGTAAATGAGTAAAATTAAAAAACAAAAAAAAAAAAAAAACAACAAAACATTGCTAACATTTTGGAAGCATACTGTTTGAGTTGCCAGTATTGTATGGCCAAAGATAATGTGAGATTGTTTTCTTAGAATTCAAGAGTTACCGTGTGAATAAGTCCTCACTTGTGACATCTCTAATTACTAAACATTTTCTTCTTGACTATCTTTAATACTGCCTTTTTTTGCTCGGAGATGCATGCCACGTTATGCAATAGCGAGTTAGTTTTAAAGTCTGACATACTGTTCCCTCCTTGATACACGTATCACGTTACAGCACTCATTCTTCCAGAAAAAAACACCTGCAACCGCTTTTCTTGAGCATACTGGTCCTGGAAATTTAGCATTTGGGAAAATAGCTGCTTTTTCACTAGGTATAAATTAGTATTTAGAGCAATTACTTAAGATTTCTACTTTCATGTTCTGCATTCAGTTGAAAATGCAGTTTACATTAGTGTGTATTAAGGTGTGTAAATACTATTTTGTCCCATCTTTTCAGGCCTTGTTTTGAACATAGCATTTCTATGGGGATTGAGAAAGATAGGTGAGGTTATTAATTCCAAACTGTAAAGCTGTGAGGGGAACATGTTTTAAACAATGTAACCTGAACTAGGTTCAGGAGGCTTGTTCCTTTTTTTTTTTTTTTTTTTTTTAAGAGAAGGCTGTGTCACTTGGCCCTTTTGGCCAACTCCCGTGTATTCAGGTAGATAAGGTAGTATCTCTGTAGTATCTAAATGTGTTTCAAAAGTTCATTAAGCATATCTAATCTGCGAAAAGTGCTTCATTCTTCCCCAGCCAGCCTCAGACTGTCTTGAGTGCATATGTTTGCACTGCATTTTTTTTTTTTTTTGGTAACAAACCAAGCTATGTATTTACTTGAAAGTTCCTGTAGACTTTAAGTGTAACACTGGTGATTTTCACTCCATACTTAATAGCCACCATCAATATTAAAACTTTTGGTCATAAATGGCTCTGCTGCATGCTGGAATGCATGTTTATCTGCTGTCCTTACTACAGAAAATCATCTAGTCTTTACATATCCACGTAACAAGCCTTTAAGTCTTGAAAGAAATATAGAAATGTTGAATTTGGATGCACTTCAAACATTTTATGAATTCCTTTTGTAGCTAATGACAGGCTGCTAAGTTCTGCTCTGAATTAAATTTTTCTTAGGACTGTCTGGCCATGTTGATTGTATGCAGCTCAATGGTAAAGGCAGTGCTTTTTCATTTTGCCATATGTCGTAGTAACTGGCTAGCTCTTCAGCAAACAATTTTGTTAAAAAAAGGAATGGTCCTAATTAAATTGTTAAAAATGGTAGGGAGATATGGCCAACCAGTGTTTTTGCTTGAAGATACAGCCCATATGCTGGAAGTGATTTATTTTTCTTGTTCCTCATCAAGCGTAGTAGTAGTTTATCAGCTTTTCTGTGCACACATATACTGAAGTTCTGAACTCTTACCATTTTTGCTGAGGCAGTGCAAATGATCTTGCAAAGGATATGAGATTGTAATGGAATTACTTCTGGTATTTTCTGAGTTTTTAGATTATTCTTGAAATTTTGATATAAATTGCTTAATTTTTTTTATGAGATACAACTTCAGTACTGGAATATAGTAAAGCTTAAATATCTGTATTACTATTCCATATAATTAAAAGCAAAGCTGACCTTAAGTTGTTTATTGTCCACGTCTATATTTTATCCAGTTCAATCTAAAGATACACCAGACTGGTGACTCCTATTAGAACAGGGGTTATAACAGATGGCAAAGACACAATATAAACTGAATATTATATGAACTTAATTTTAACCATGCTCAACAGGATTTTGTAGTCTGCACTCATTGAGATCCATAGTATATTGTCATAGGTTAAAATTTATACCAAACTCATTGTTCCCTCTTTGGTGTCTTTCCTCAAAGTTTAAAGAAAAATTACATGTTCTTTTAACAAATGATGACACAAAAATGCATCAACCCCGTGAAGCACTGATTGATAAACAGTTGCAATCTGCCGAGAGATAACTTGGCCCAAAAAATGATGAAGTAATTGATCTAAAAGAACATTCTTAAGTAGAAAATAAAACCACAACAACAGCCTTATGTTTTGATGTGAGATGCTCAGCAAATAAATGGTGTGCTCTGAAGGCATGAAGGTCATTTTACTTAAGCATATTGAGGGAACAAATTTTTTTGGCATACGATTTCCTATAAAGAAAAAATGTATATTAGATAAGTCTTTTCTCCAATTAATATACAGCAATGGAGCTATTAAAATAGTAGGGAAGGCCAGGTGGTGACTAATGGGGTCAATTTCCATTGGGCCATAGGTGTGGATGGACACTCAGTGCCATTCCTAGGTGTGGAGTGGTGCCAATCCATACGTAATCTCACACAGCCTGCATCCAGAGTGTCTCGTTAGCTCATGCTTTGGGCTAGGACTGGGGGACTTGATAGCATATTTTCCAAATGCTCTTTAACTGTTTCCTTAGGTGCCCTGAATTTATTGATTTGGGCACTGTGCTGCCATTAACGTGCAAAATTATCTTGGGATTTGGTGCTTTCCTTGGGGTGTTAGCTTAGCTCTAACATGAGGAAGTATCAGTCCAACCTGCCTCATCCTTCAGTAGTGAGGAAGGCAGCGAGTGTGGCCTGGGAAAATACAGGGGTCAGACATTGCTATGTTCAGTTGTTGGTTATTTCTTTCATGCTCTTTTGGAAGCAAACAGAGGACTGCCTCATACCCAAAGTATTTGTTTTCATTAAAATCAATTTGATGAAATGTGAGAATTTAATAACAATAGAATGATTGAGTTGCATTACTTAGTCATGTATTATGTTTTTTTTTTTTCCCATAGGAAAAAAAGGCAGCTTTTTGCTGCCTTTTGGGATACACCATAAAATATACTTAGGTGGCCTCTCAGTTTGGCCTTTTGCTGAAGAAATCTGTTGTGTAAATTTGTGTTTTTTCCCCATAGAATGTTTTTAAAATCATAGCTGAAGACATTTTTTCTAAAAATTTAAGTTGTAGGATAGAGAACTGAATATCCAATTTTCACAAAACAATACTTTCATCTTAAATACATGTGAAACAAGCCTTGTGTGTGTTCATTTTTCATGGGATAGATTTAATAGGTCTTTTCCATCTTGAACTTCCTTAAGCTGTGATTAATTGAAATTTGGAGGTATTCATATTAATTACTTCAGCCTGATGTCTAAAAGTGGCAGGAGGATGACTTTCTTCAGAAAAGCAGTTAACAGCAACCTTTTTTTCCTCATTGAAGGAAAAAAAAAAAAATTGTTTGGAGATTACAAAAAAAAAAAAACAACAAAAAACCAGCATACATATTGGTAAAATAATTTAAAAAACTGCTATCATATAATGATTTTTACGCCCATATTGCATTAACAGGGAAAAAATAAAGCTTTATAAACCTGAGTAAAAAAAAATCTGAGTAAAATCGTGCTGGTTTGTATGTAGTCCCTTAAATAGGGGACAAAATGCTCGTAATAAGAGGTATGAGATTGAAAAGGAACTTCACTGTGTTACTGCATCCAGGTGTTGATGATTTCTATCACTTTGTGTTGGTAAACGGTTTGTCTAGAGCTTCTATTGTTTGTAGTTCTTCTAGTGTGCTTTTTTATATCTAATTTCTGTAGAGTAAAACATAGTTGTATAATTTGAATTTACATGCTAAATGTATGTGAGACATAAAGTGCTTGACTTAAGAACAGTGAGAATAAAGATGTTGTCCTTGCCATTGATTTCTCAGTAAAAAAAAAAGATTGCACACAACCTTGAACAGGAGTAAGTGTGAAGTCTTGTATGTAAGTTGAAAACAGGGAAGGGGGGAATAAAGAAACATAAAAATAGGAGAATTGTGGTTTACTTTTGTATTTTCACTAGATATACAACAGTAACTTGAAATCTCGTTCTTAATGAAAATCACAAGCTCACGTTAATGGAAAACAAAGAAATACCAGTTACACTAGTGTTCTTGATTTTTTTAAACCTTGAGTTTAGCATTTTGCAGACTGCCAAGGAAAATCAGAAGAATTGAAATGAATTAATAAATGGATTTTTTTAAATACTCATGAGTTACAGGGATGGTCATTGCAATTGGCTATGTTCTGTGTTACTCTTGCAAAGTTCTTCTGTAGGACTTGAATTTTGTCTGGTTACAGCAACTGCACACAGTGCACAAGCCTCATGGTTTTGTAAGTATGAAACAGCTGATTTGAGAATGGTTAGCTTCTGGGAATCCAAACTTACACTTAAGTATTACAATCAGAGAAGCAGCAAACAGAAGGCAGTGTAAGGAGAAAGAATACTGAGTATTTCCTGGTGTTTATGGAAAAGAATTAGGGTATTCTCCTCAGTTTCTTTAGCCTTAATTTCACTGTAATAATTTCTGTGAAAGGGAAAGTAGTTTTACTCTTAGTGAACATTTTTGGGAAAAAATGGTTTTCTTTAAATAACCACATACTGTTAAGGTGGAAATAGGAAACATAATCAGTCTCAAAAGATGCAGAAACCACAAGCATTTATTATAATTCCTTTGCAGATGATTGTTCTTCGTGTTTTTGGCATTTTAATGTGCTTCCTTTTTTTTTTAAGCTCCAGTACGGATACTGCTGTTCCTCCATTATTTGCTGTAAAAGGATTTATTCTGCAGTGCTGTTGCTAAGCTTAAATATTTGATCTAGTGTAAAATATTAGGGGGGGCTGGGACGGTTAGTGGACGGAGCGGGAGTGCAGGTAGTGTTTTCGTCCATCCCTACGGTGACAGGGAGGGGTACGGAGAGGACCAGGAAAGCCCACCTGTTAAACACGTGGCTCCGGGGCTGGTGCCAACGCAGAGATCTTGGGTTTTTCGACCATGGGGCAGTTTATTCAGCACCTGGTCTGATGGCCGTAGACGGGTCCCTATCCTTTAGGGGAAAAAGGATCCTTGGCCAGGAGCTGGCGGGGCTCATTGATAGGGCTTTAAACTAGGTAAGAAGGGGGATGGGGGTGAAGCAAGGATTGTTGGAGCTGTGCCAGGGGGAACTATGGCAAGGCCGGGGAATAAGGTAATGGCCCAGCTGAAGTGCATCTACACCAATGCACGCAGCATGGGTAACAAACAGGAGGAGCTGGAAGCCATCGTGCAGCAGGCAGGCTACGACTTGGTTGCCATCACGGAAACATGGTGGGACCAATCTCATGACTGGAGTGCTGCTATGCCTGGCTATAGGCTCTTCAGAAGGGACAGGCAGCACAGAAGGGGTGACGGTGTGGCTCTCTATATTAGAGAGTCTTTCGATGTTGTGGAACTCGAGGCTAGGAATGACAAAATCGAGTCCCTTTGGGTTAGGATCGGCAGGGACAACAAGGCTAGTGTCCTGGTCGGGGTCTGCTATAGACCGCCGAACCAGGATGAGGAGACGGATGAGGAGTTCTACAGGCAGCTGACAGAAGTTGCGAAATCTTCAGCGCTTGTACTCGTGGGGGACTTCAACTTCCCTGACATATCCTGGAAGCACAACACAGCCCAGAGAAAGCAGTCTAGGAGGTTTCTGGAGAAAGTGGAAGATAGCTTCCTGACGCAGCTGATTAGTGAACCTACCAGGAGTGGTGCCCTGCTAGACCTTCTCTTCACAAACAGAGAAGGACTGGTGGAGGATGTGATTGTCGGGAGCTGTCTTGGGCAGAGTGACCACGAAATGGTAGGAGTTCACTATTCTTGGCGAGGCCAGGAAGGGAACCAGTAAAACCACTGTATTGGACTTCCGGAGGGCTGACTTTGGGCTGCTCAGGACACTAGTTGGTGGAATCCCCTTGGGAGGCGGTTCTGAAGGGCAGAGGGGTCCAGGAAGGCTGGGCGCTCTTCAAGAGGCAAATCCTAATGGAGCAGGAGTGGTCTGTTCCCATGTGCCCAAAGATGAGCCAGCGGGGAAGAAGACCAGCCTGGCTGAACAGAGAACTGTGGCTTGAACTTAGGAGAAAAAAGAGGGTTTATAATCTTTGGAAAAGTGGACAGGCCACTAGGGAGGACTATAAGGATGTAGCGAGGCTGTGCAGGGACAAAATTAGGAAGGCCAAAGCTCATCTGGAGCTCAATCTGGCTACTGCTGTTAAAGATAACAAAAAATGCTTTTATAAATACATCAACACAAAAAGGAGGACAAAGGAGAATCTCCATCCTTTACTGGATGCGGGGGGAAACTTAGTTGCAAGAGATGAGGAAAAGGCGGAGGTGCTCAATGCCTTCTTTGCCTCAGTCTTTAGTGGCAATACCAGTTGTTCTCTGGATACCCAGTACCCTGAGCTGGTGGAAGGGGACTGGGGAGCAGGATGTGGCCCTCACCATCCACGAAGAACTGGTTGGTGACCTGCTACGGCGCTTGGATGTGCACAAGTCGATGGGGCCGGATGGGATCCACCCAAGGGTACTGAGAGAACTGGCAGAGGAGCTGGCCAAACCACTATCCATCATTTATCAGCAGTCCTGGCTATCGGGTGAGGTCCCAGCTGACTGGCGGCTAGCGAATGTGACGCCCATCTACAAGAAGGGCCGGAGGGCTGACCCGGGGAACTACAGGCCTGTCAGTTTGACCTCAGTACCAGGGAAGCTCATGGAGCAGATCCTCTTGGGAGTCATCATGTGGCACTTGCAGGGCAAGCAGGCGATCAGGCCCAGTCAGCATGGGTTTATGGAAGGCAGGTCCTGCTTGACGAACCTGATCTCCTTCTACGACAAAGTGACGCGCTGGGTGGACGAGGGAAAGGCTGTGGATGTGGTCTACCTTGACTTCAGCAAGGCTTTTGACACCGTCTCCCACAGCATTCTCCTCAAGAAACTGGCTGCTCTTGGCTTGGACTGGCGCACGCTTCGTTGGGTTAGAAACTGGCTGGATAGCCGGGCCCAAAGAGTTGTGCTAAATGGAGTCAAGTCCAGTTGGAGGCCAGTCACTAGTGGCGTCCCCCAGGGCTCGGTGCTGGGGCCGGTCCTCTTTAACATCTTCATCAATGATCTGGACGAGGGCATTGAGTGCACCCTCAGTAAGTTTGCAGATGACACCAAGTTAGGTGCGTGTGTCGATCTGCTCGAGGGTAGGAAGGCTCTGCAGGAGGATCTGGATAGGCTGCACCAATGGGCTGAGGTCAACTGCATGAAGTTTAACAAGGCCAAGTGCCGGGTCCTGCACCTGGGGCGCAATAACCCCAAGCAGAGCTACAGGTTGGGAGATGAGTGGTTGGAGAGCTGCCAGGCAGAGAAGGACCTGGGAGTGATGGTGGACAGTCGGCTGAATATGAGCCAGTAGTGTGCTCAGGTGGCCAAGAAGGCCAATGGCATCCTGGCTTGTATCAGAAACACTGTGACCAGCAGGGCTAGGGAGGTGATCGTCCCCCTGTACTCGGCTCTGGTGAGGCCGCACCTCGAGTACTGTGTTCAGTTTTGGTCCCCTCGCTACAAGAAGGACATTGAGATGCTTGAGCGGGTCCAGAGAAGGGCAACGAAGCTGGTGAGGGGCCTGGAGAACAAGTCCTGTGAGGAGCGGCTGAGGGAGCTGGGCTTGTTCAGCCTGGAGAAGAGGAGGCTCAGGGGCGACCTTATTGCTCTCTACAGATACCTTAAAGGAGGCTGTAGAGAGGTGGGGGTTGGCCTGTTCTCCCACGTGCCTGGTGACAGGACGAGGGGGAATGGGCTAAAGTTGCGCCAGGGGAGTTTTAGGTTAGATGTTAGGAAGAGCTTCTTTACTGAAAGGGTTGTGAGGCACTGGAACGGGCTGCCCAGGGAGGTGGTGGAGTCACCATCCCTGGAAGTCTTCAAAAGACGTTTAGATGTAGAGCTTAGGGATATGGTTTAGTGGGGACTGTTAGTGTTAGGTTAGAGGTTGGACTCGATGATCTTGAGGTCTCTTCCAACCTAGAAATTCTGTGATTCTGTGAAAATTCCAGAAAAACCCTGTGTACACCAGTTATTGCAGTACTGCAAAGTGCAGTCTTTGAACTACCAGCTGGAAGTGGTCTTTTAAGCTGCTTACAAATGTTTTACATATTTTTATGCTGTTGGGAAATCACCAACAAATCTGAAATCTATGTACATTTTAAAAAAACAGTAATTCAATACAATTGCTGCAGGTAGGAATAGCCATTTGCCCTCCTTGCTGCTTGGTCCTGCTGCTTGCCTGCTTTGTGCCACCCTTGCATCTCTGTGCCCGTGCTTGGTGCAGTGAGCAGGATAAAGAGAAATCCCAACTATAGGACTGATTCTGCTCATCTCATGTGGGGGGAAAGATCAGCAAGGAGGGGGCAGTAGAACAAGATGCTCCAGAACTGTGGACACAGGTTAGTTTGTGCTGTACCTGCAGAGAATATAGAAAATATAGTTTTATGTATGTCTTCATTAAGTGAGATTGGATACTTTTCCAGTACTTCTAGGAAATATATAGCTTAGAAATAGGTAAGAAATGTATTTAGGTTTTCAGATCTCTTGAGTGGTATCATTCCATTTTACATTCTTAGTGATAGTTGACCTAAGAGGGCCACTATTTGAAATAATGAAGAATCAATTTACCACTAAAATGTTGAGCCAGATGCAGTGAGCTTGGCCTGTCTGTTCACTTCCTGCAGTTTCCAGAAAGCTAGATGCAAGTCGATAAAAAATGAAAAAGTGTTCTTCGTGCTTTCTCCAGGAAAGATGATATGTATGGTTTTGGAGAAGCAAAACTATTCCAATATATTTTTTCTTTGAAGAAAACGTACTCTGCAATTAGAAAGATGGAAAACACTGTCTTTTAAAAGGCTGACAATCTT